AAGCCTGCTGCTCCGTTTTTAATTTTATTTTTTAAGAGACGGGATCTCCCTATGTTACAGGTTGGACTCAAATTCCTGGGCCAACCAATCCTCCCTCCTCAGCCTCCCGAGTCGCTAGGACTATAGGCATGCAGCCTGCTGCTTCCTCTGGATACCATGGCGAGCTTTGAAATGCTAGAGAATATGCAAAATTAACAAAGAACTTTATTCCCATTTTGACAATAGCCTTGGGAGTTGCCCATAGGTTAAAAAGAAAATACTGATCACTCTTTTTAGTTGACTTGTTTTATTAATAAAGGTAGAAGAATATAAGACATTAAAAAGACCTTCTACAACAAAAAGAGATTTAGTTTTGACATAATAGAAATAAATAAAATTTCTTTGTCAACTACCAACATACAATCAAGAGTAAGCGCTTCTTAAATCCTAGGTATGATCCTAAGTGCTTTCCATGCATTATTTAATTACATTCTCAAAATAACTGTGCAAATCAAGTGCAATTATTTTCCTCATTTGACAGATGAGGGAATTGTGGCTTAGAGAGATTAATCACTCAAGAATGAGGACCCAAATTTGCAAGTGGTATGTGTGGATTCAAAGCCTGAATTACAATGGCCATAATACTTCTCAATTCTGAGAAAACTGGTATAAAATTCATTACTATATATCAATAATTTTAAACAAGTTTAGTCAAAACAATGTAACCAAGATAGAGTCCTAAAATATATAAAAATGCTCTATGTTTGTCAACCTTGAATAAGATTTTGAGCAAATATCATTATAAGCCTAAGCCATCTTAGGGATATCTTTGCAGAAATGTGTATAATGTTCATGTATGCAATGCACACATGCACAAGTGTATTCAGAGAGGCATAGAACGAGGGAGAGAGAAGAAGAGATATTCTAAAGCATTAAAAAATATATTGTTGTTTTCATTATAATGACTTGAATAGGTCATCAAGGTACTAGAACATAACTGCTGACTGCTATACCAAGAGGAAATTTATAAAGCTGCACATCTCATCTCTGCCTTCTTTCCATTTTACTCAGTATAGAAAATGATATTGGCCTTCCAAAACCTTCACTTATGTTTGGACCCTTTCCATCTTTGAGTCTTATTCTAGTGTTGCTGACCATTAAAATAAATTTTTCAGTGGGGCTAGAAAAGCCTCTTATTAGCCCAAGCAAAGCTTTATAGGGCTTGCATACTTTAAGAGGTTAATCTAGCCAGCCAGCTCACTTTGTTGAGAAGTATTAAATGGAAAGGCTGTAATATTCAAAGAAAGCCAAAGTTCACTGGGTAAAACCTCAATAATATAATGGAGCATAAAACTTCTAAAATTTTTTATCACAATATTTTATGAAACATATGCACACACTCACTGGAACAAAAATCCAAATGGTTTTGAAGGTCAGTTCAAAATTACCACATATGTAGAATCTGTGAGAAATATGTACCATTTCCAAAATGCCAGGAAATATGTACTGTTTCCAAAACTTCCTTTCCCTACTTGATAGTTTATTATCAGTCCAGCAGTGTACTATATAAAAACAATAAAGTCACCTACTACAGCAATGATACTATTCTCAGCCAAAGTATGTTTAGTAAACTATTCCAAATTTTCATATCAACACATCCTGGTGTTATAGAACAAAAGAAATTATAAAGTATAATTCTAGAAGGAAGTACTACTTTAAGTGTGAGCAATAAATATAAAAATTAAAACCAATTATGTTATTTTCAAATTCAAAACCAGTTATGTAAAGCCTTTGATGTTTGTTGTTGTCAAAGGAGGAGAAGACACTTTGTTCCTACATTTTAAAGAAAAGTGAATTGGAATAGGCATGAGTAGAGCCAACTCTTAATATAATTTCGTGTTTCTAAAATGCCCAAATTCTAGGAGCAACTATGATTCTCCTAAGGGGAAGGAAGCAAAGGTTCACTTTGTGTGACATAGGTCAGATTTCTGTGGCAAGTGAGATTTCTGTAGTTAACTGTTCCTGGGTTATCACTGTCTTCGGAAGGTCTTTAAAGGTCAAGAGAGGTTCCAAATTGTGCTCACTGCTTAAGGGACATCCCTAGGGCTACCTCAATCAACGTAAGATCATTAGGACTTTTCTAACTCTGATTCCAGTTTTACTCTCATAAATGTTGCTTGTTAATGCATATTCCTGATGTAGATTTAAAAGAAACTAAAATAGTATCATACATAGATCAAATGATAGAATATACTCATTTAACAAGTCTTTTAACTCTAAGATTGAGTTCAATGAAATCCAAGCAGACAGCAGAGGTTTAGAATCTGGTTCTAAGAACAAAGCATCACTCTACAGTAGCTGTGCTGGTGTTTACGCTCTGTGATCAATGACACTATTCTAGATTTCATTTAGTATAATGCAGCTTTATACAAGTTATTTTAAACCATTTACACAATCATCATATATGTTTTATTAAGGTAAAATTTTGTTGTTCACTGTTTTTAAAGACTTTTGGATCACTGAAATACAATAAATGTTGAAGTAAAAATTATTATTTGACAACATTTCAGTGTTGCTCTTTTAATGCAAATATATGTCTTACGTTTTCTCACAATGGAATTGTAAAGACACCAAATGGATTATATTTATAAAAGCTGAAAGAGTTCCATCTATTTTTTAATTAATAAAGAGTATCTCTAAGTATTTTAGATAGCGTGTAGAAAACATCTGTATTTAATTATATCTTATTTTTCTTAAACAGACAATGGGAATTGAATTAAGGAATATTTTGAAACCCCTATAGAGTTATTAAAGTATTAATGGCTGTTCAAGAACTCTATTACTACAATACTTGAAAATGTTTCAGATCAACAGCCAGACACTTCATAAATATCATATTTTCAACCTAACAGGAAGAAACATGAAATACTGAGCAAATACAGAAAAAAATACCTCTAGAAAAGAATAGGGATTTTCACTATTATTATATAGCACATAATAAGGCACAGAAAATGTCTTGCATATTTGTACAGATTTAAATAGGGCTTGTAGCATATATATCCTAAGCAGGATTTCTTTTTAAATTTTGTTGTGGATTAAGAATTTCTATGAGAATAAATTAACAGCTTGTTATTTATTCTTCAGAGAGGAAAAACCTTAAGCTGTTCTCATGGCAACAGTGGGGCACAAAGTATGGGTTTCTAGTACTTCTCCTTAAGTATTAAAAATACCAGATTTTCTCTCTGTGTGCTTAATGTTCCCAAATTCCACTTCTTTTCAAAGTCAGTATCAGTTCTGCAGTCAGTTTTCAATATCCCAGTGGTAAGGATATATTCAAAGGCTGTGTGCTCAGCAGGAAAGAAGGCTTTCTCTGTGAATGTAACTGTATCACACATCAGTAACCTCCTGCCATAAGAGGAATCCATATTTTTCTTTCCTTTTAGTATCTCCCTGGACTCTTGAATGCCAGTCACTGCCCTAAGACCTGGGTTAGTATCTACATAACTTCAGTAAATAGCTCCTACTCATGCAACTCACAAATAAATGTCAAATCTGCAGATCAAAGTCCCCACATTCTAAAACTCATGTTCGTTATAGATCACTTTTCATAAACTATACTTATGTTTTAGAAATAACATAGAGGCTCACTTTTTGCTTTCGATCTTTTATCATAGAAAAGTTTCTTTATAAGAAAGACATTCTGATTATAGACAACAGTGTGAAATTCTGATGCAGTGCATAAAACTCAATTATCCTTGCCTTTGAATAGACTTCTATTAGAGTATTTTATAATCGTTTAGTAGAAATGCAAAAATCTTTGGGCTATTTAAATTAAAAAGCGCAGGTTGTTTTGCAATGGTTAAACATCTTTTCCTAGTGCCTGGTACAATACAGGCTAGATGATGAATAATAAATTCTTATTCATAATTAATTTTATTTTTAAATCTTCATAATGCTACAGGTAAATAATATGACAGAAAATAGCTTCAGCATGTGTTTTTACAATCTATATTCATTATAATTACTCAAAATTGCTTGGGAAAATGAATATAATTATTTGAAATTATTTTCACTCAGCAGATTTCATATGTAAAATAAATAAATCTATACTTCCCATAAATTTGAGTCCAATACAATAGACCAAGCTATCTTATATGAATATCTTTTCAGATCAGTTGTGGAGATAAACATTTTTAAATTTACTACTGCTCTCTAAAGAACTGTCTTTGGCAAACAATATGAGATTTAGAATAGAATGTACACAAATGCTATTTATATGTGTATCTATTTAAGGTTTAATCATATTTATTATAGCAGTAAGAGTATATAAGACATTAAATATATACATATCAGAGTGCTCAGAAAGGAGACAAAGATGGAACAATTACAATCCTCAGAGCCACAGAACTGTTTACTAAATTCCAAATAAAAACTTCATCATGCTATTTCCCCTAAATAAATGTTAACATAACTGCATGAGATTATCAGGTATAATTTCACTCTGAGTTCTATTATAATCCATGAGATATTAGGCAAGTCACTCACTCAGAAGGTAGCTTTGGCCTTAACCTGCTTTCAACACAAAAACAATTAAAATTTAAGGTCTGTAAAATATTTATCGAAACATGTTAAAGTGTATTATTCTCATTTTTGTGGGTAAATGGTTGAGGCTCAGCAGAAAAACAGGTTGATGAAAGATATTACAGAGGCCCTATCTAATGGAGAAAAGTTAGATTTTCTGAGAAATCAAATTTTTATGTATTCCTAATAAGAAAATAATTTGGTTAAAATTCAAATATGAAATAAGCTTTTAAAATGAAAAATATATTTTGATTATGTTGTGAATCAACTGATGTGGAAATAAGCAGGGTGTGTGCATGCATGTGCATGTGAGCATGTTTGCTTATGCTGGGGTCAGATTTATGACTCAAATACTTTGACTTTCCTCTAGAGTTGTGGCAAACTGAAACTTACAGGTGTGTTATAGAAGAGCAAACAGAGTTCTTGTTAAACCAACTTACCAGTTTTTCGAAGAGGGAAATCATCCTTTGAATCTTGTGCTCCTGGTAATGTGTACTTGTAGGATGGAGATGTTCCACTAAGGGGTGGAGAGCTTTGATCCAGTGATGTGTGGTGGGCAGCCCTAGAAAAGACAAGGGAGTTTCACTATTTACTCAGTAGGTTTTACTGCCTGTTGGTCAGAAATTATCAACTGCACATGCTGTACACGTGCCTCAGCTATGTTTTTGCTCTTTCTCCTTAGTGTATACAAACCACAGCCTCACGTACTTCAGGAAAAAAAAAACTGCTAGATAGTACATGTGAGTACATGTGTGTAGCCTTTTTTACTGAAAAGTCAGGATTGTGCCAACAGGCTCACATCTCCTGACTTCAATAGTAGTTTCAATAGTAAAGAATTGGGGATCATATTCTTTAATATGAAACTGATTTTAAAAATATTTTCTTTTTCCTGGGTGAATACAAATTAACAGATGCAACTGTGCTGCCGGAGAATAGTTTATAGAACTAAATATTGACTATCTAATAGATATAAATATCTATAACCATACATGTAATGAAAACAATGAACAAGAGGTATCACCATCACAATGATTGTTCTACCACTATTATTTATTTAAATCATACATTCTTAAGACTTTATTGGTTTAAGGATGTTTCATCTAGCTATGACTGCCAAAAATATTGCTAAGTAACATGTGAGAGCTCTTTAGTATTACCTAAGAAAACAGCTAATGAACTTTTAATTAACAAATTATTTGCATCTAGTTGTTTCTCATTTTAAAATGGTATTATCTTTTCTTAGAACAGACTTTAATTTTGAATTATAAATTAGCTATAAATTATGTGTGTAGTTTTAGGTAACAAAATGGTGTTTCTTTTTAAATCATTTGTGATATTGATTAAATATTTGGAATTGTTCTTCAGAGATTAATTTCTCATGTCAACTGACATCCATGACAGAAATTATGAAAATCATTAAAATGTATTTATAAAACATTATGAAATCTGTTTGTTACCTGTTTTTGGATACAGAGAAGGGCAGATACCTATAAAATAGGTTTATACGGATATTAACTCTTTAAATAGAACTCCCAGGCTTCTTACAATATCAATATAACAGAGTAATCAAGTACTATTCCTATCTTTAATGGTGTGAGGGATTGAAAAATATTTAAGTGTAAAATTCTATGGTCATTTGCTAATACTTTTATGAGTGAAATGAAACTATTATCTATTATCCATATATGATTTGCCTGTCTGTTCTTTGCACTGAGTTTTTTTGTTTGTTTGTTTTGTTTTTAGAGACAGAGTCTCGCTCTGTTGCCAGGCTGGAGTGTAGTGACGCGATCTTAGCTCACTGTAACCTCCACCTCCTAGGTTCAAGCAATTCTCCTGCCTCAGCCTCACGAGTAGCTGGGACTACAGGCATGCACTACCACGCCCAGCTAATTTTTGTATTTTTAGTAAGACAAGACGGGGTTTCACCATGGCCATGATTGTCTCAATCTCTTGACCTTGTGATCCGCCCACCTCAGCCTCCCAAAGTGCTGGGATTACAGGCGTGAGCCACTGCGCCCGGCTGCCCTGAGTTTTAAAATCACCATACTCTCCATGTTTTATTGAAATATTTGTGTATTGGACTTGTGGAAATATGGTTCCATAAAAACCATAATCCCACAGTGTATTATGTTGTCAGCTTGTGTGTCAGAAGCCAAGCTATTATTTTTCTGGCTGGGAAGAAGTGAGGTGAGGTGGGCAGGGGTAAAACTTTTCATGGGAGACTTGAGTTATGTATTTAGCAACCTCTCTTCTTCCCTTCCCTACCATCCCTTATCTCTTTTCTTCCTTCCTTTTTTCTTTGAGACAAAATTCCACTAGTCTTTAGAAAACAGCTCTGACCTCCTTCTTATACCAAGTCAAGTGTAATAAAATCACAATATGCTAAATCTTCTGAAATTTCTATATAGATATCAGATCCACCAGATGAAAATGGAAAATGCAATTTGTTAGTTATTCACTCATCAAAGAACATATACTTCCTTGCCCTCAAGATGATAAATGCTACCATTTATTTAGCACTTCTCTCTGTTTTGTACTTTACCACGTTATTTCATAGGACCATCCCAGCAACTCCAGAGGGCAGGCACTATTATTTTCCTTTTCTTATGGAGAAGGAAACGATCCCTAGAGAATTCGAGAAACTTGCCCACAGCCAGATAGCTGAGAAATGGCAGGCTAAGGATTTGCACCCAGGTTGGCTAACTACAGAACCTGTGTTCTTTACCCTAGGAATAAAAACAGCCAAACATTGAACATACGTGTACCAGAGCTTGGGATGGCGGCTCACGGAATGATTTTTTCCATTAGTTGGAGTGTCTTTTGTTGCTGATTTACTCAATAGGAATTCTTGAAGCTTCTGCTTTACTTCTGTACTTGCCACTGCCCCTGAAACACATGTACGTGCGCATGCACACACACACACACAAACACACACACACACACACACACACACACACACAGACAGAAACAGAGGTTGATAGTAAGTTTTATCCTCTCATGACTCTAGAATATTTAACAAAGATTAAGAAGTAAAATTGCTGGTCATAGCATATAAAGTTTTCCTATTAAAAGAAGAAACCACAGTCCAAAAATGCTTTAGAAAATAGTATAGTAATGCTTTACAGCTACTGCTTAAACTGCAAATTTTCGACTTTCAATGATTTCTTTAATTACTTTTACAAAAAGGGAATTCTGAAAATTAATTTTTTTTAAGTTTAAAAAATATTGCAGAGGAACAAAACATTGTATTTGAATTATCATGCTATCCTAAGGGATTAGATTCATATTAAATCCCTTATACACATTAAAATAATCTTTTCTGATTGGCTAGCTTGAAATCTTAGTTTTAAAAAAAAAAACCCTTTGAGTATTAAGAAAATAAATATTGCTAACAATTCCAGCTCAAGTCATCAAATTTTAAACCTTGCTACGACCTGATTTTGAACTGACCTTATACAGGGTAATTATTTGGATCTGTCTCCCTCTTGTGGATAGTTCTTTTGCAAGTGTTATGCCTTAAATCTTCTCAAAGTTTGAGTTTGCCAAAACTAAATGGAGGCAAGGCTTTACTTAGAGAGCAATTATTACTTGTCCAGGAGTAAGGAAGGCATAGTCAGGAGATGTGGATACAAGCTGATTATTAAACAGGATTGCATATACTAGACTGCTTTAGCATGACATCATTTTTAAGGTTGAAAACAATAGAAATTAGCATCTTTGACATATAATGCTATGTTTGTTTCTTGAGATGCTCTGCAGACTCGATGTGAGCTGGTATGTGAATGTCAAAACTTTACAGTTGGGTCTGTTATCTATGTTTTTGATTAAACACAGACAATTTTGACGAGTCTAACTGCCCTCTTTATCAGGCTTTGTTCTGAATAATGATCAGCCAAAGATGAGGGAAGAGAGTCCATCGTTTACCCTGGTGCCTCTTACTTTCTCGTCCTCTATCTTTGCCTCTGAGAGGAGGAAGCTGCTGTTCTCTCCGATGCCTCTCTACTTCCTGTTCTTGCCTCTGCTGCTCCAGTTTCTGCTCCTTTTCTAGGAGTTCTTGTTGCTGTTTTATGGCTAGAAGTTCCTGTTGCAACTTGCGAGAAGAGAAAGACATGAGAGTGTGCAATTTCTTTAAGCTTCATAGTCATCATTGACCAAAACTGAAATGTTATAAGCTTTTGGAACTTGTTTGTATTTAGTTCATATTTTCCCCCACTTTTTCTGTAAATAATTGGAATCTAAGGACAAGTAACTAATGCAGTGAAGTTCTTAACGTCATCAACAGGCAGGTTTTAGGCAGCTCCATAATCTTTCCTATCAAAACTTACTACTAAATTCACACAGGTCTTCTTGTTTCCTTTAATTAAATCTTTAGTTCTCTTAATGGCTTTTCTTTGAACATATAAAATATATGAAACAGGAAGGGTAGGGACTGCCCAGAAGTCTATTTTACAAAGTTCCTCACATTATAAATAAACAACTGAAATCTTCCATTCTTAGCCTGACAAATGGTGTAAAAATCATCAAAGCGAATACAGAATGGTGAGATATAAGTTAATTTGGGGAAAGTATACCTGAAGTAAACGAATGCCAAAAATCTCAAAACCTTATAGAGCAAGTTCTCAATAGACAATGCATTGTATATTTTTATAATACATAGAATTATATATATATATATTCTATCAAAATATAAAAATAGCAAAAGCTTTATTCTTTCATTCAGCACATAAAAGCCTTTAGATTAGAGACACTGGTTAAGAAGAAACAACTTCCTCAAAACTTCATTTTAATGTACTATTCTTTAGCTTTCTGAATCCCTTTAATTCACTTTCAAACAATGAATGACGTGAACATGATGCATTCTTGCACTCTTTATTATTATTATTTTTTTGAGACAGTGTCTCACTCACTCTGTCACCCAGGCTGGATTGCAGTGGCACCATTACAGCTCACTGCAACCTCTACCTTCTGGGCTCAGGCAATCCTCCCACCTTAGCCTTCTAAGTGGCTAGGATTACAGGTATATACCACCACTCCCAATTAAATTTTTTTTAATTATTATTTTTAGTGGAGACAAAGTCTTGCTATGTTCCCCAGGCTAGTTTCAAATTCCTGGCCTCAAGTGATCCTCTGATTTGGCCTCCTAAAGTACCAGGATTACGGGTATAAGCCACCTTGCCCAGCCTGAAGCATTTTTTTTTAATAGCTATTTTGAGATGTCCATTTCCTTTCAGACTGTGAAATATATATCTATTAACTATAGTAAATGTGCTTACTGAGGAGTAATTAAAGACCTTGAGTTCTACTTAGATTCTGACATTAGTAAATAAGAAATCTGGACAAGTTACTAAACTACTTGGAGCCATAGTTCCTCATATATAAGAGAATAATCTCTCTTTGGCCACATATTCATAAAGCCATAAAATTTAGTTTTTAAGTTTGAATCCTACTGATTTTTATTATTATTATTATTATTATTAGAAGTTCAGCACCCCAATCTAAAAATCCCAAATCCTAAATGCTCCAACATCTGAAATAGTTTGAGCACTGACATGATGCCACAAGTGGAAAATTCCATACCTGACCCCATGTGATGAGTTCCAGTCAAAACGCAGGCACACAACACAAAGTTTAGTCAACTTCACCAAGGGAAGAAAGACCCTTCCAGCCCCCTTTCAGCTGCAATGTATTTTTTTCACACACCCCCAATAAGCACACCCACAAAAGGTAATAAATTGGCATGTGTGTGGGCCAGACATGCCAATGGCATGTTTTTCACATTCAGACACAGCAATGATAGTGATGCCAAACAACCACAGATTGTCCACATGGGAGGCTGAGACTGACAGTTTTCCTTTCTGATGGTTCAACGTACCTTTGCTTAAAGCACAAAACTATTATTGTATAAAATTACCTCCAGCCTATGTGCATAAGATGTATATAAAATATAAAGGAATTTTATATTTTGACTTGAGTCCCATCTCCAAAATATCTCATTATGTACAGATATGTAAACATTCCAAAATCCAGAAAAAAATCCAAAATATGATATACTTCTGGTCTCAGGTATTTCAGATAAGGGATACTTAACATGTTTTTGTAATTTTCAGTACTAATAAAGTTAGTAAACTTTGTTTTTTACATTAGATAGGTGCCTAAAACTCTTGATTTTATACCAAAAATAATAGAACAAAAATAAGAAGCTATTATATGGAATGGCATCAGAGTTACTCTGGAGAAAAAAAAGAAGCTAACTCTGCATATCAACCATAGCAGCCTTATTACTCCCAGAGGACATAGTTAGAAGCATTTCTGGCTAGTCTTCATATTAAAATCTTTGGTGTTTTGGCTTCAATACACCAGTCCCGTAATGGGTGTTATTCCATTGTAACAAAATAATATTGTAGCAGAAGGAATGCTTAAACTCTGCCTTACTGTTAAATTCTATACAGATACTTGAGTTGGTCAAAAAAATTTGGTGCTTCACACCCAACGCCCCAATATATTTGAACCTTAATCTTTCATAGGAATCTAGAAAAGCACACAGTTTAATTACCAAGCTACTATTCATTATCAAAGAGTGCATGAATTAGGTTTAAAACAATAGAAAGAAATAAAACTTTAGCCCTCTATTTCTACATGTTCTGGTCCATGAGAGAGGCACGGCAACTTAAGAGCTTTGGAGGCAGACAGGACAAGACTGTAAATCTTGGAGCAACCCCTTACTGGCTGTGTAACCTTGGAAAGGTAACATTATTGCCTCTACCTCAGTTTACTAGGTGGAAAAATGGGATAACAGAATCTAACTCAACAAATGTTGATTATTACAGAAGCCAAAGATTCAAAAAGCTAATATAACTAAAGCATTGTGCACCGTATCTTCCCCATAAAAATAAAATCTTAATAAAAGCATCAACTTTTAGCCTTACCCATAAAAAATATAACAAAACAAAATAAAAATTTTTAAAAACAATAAACTTCCTAATCTGAAAAGGAAATTTTAATTATGTCTTCAGTTTCTAAGAAAACAATGTAATTATTTTGTAAAATCATTTAAAAAGCTAAATTTTCCTTTTAGCTATCTCACAATCCTTTTTTCTCACAGGAGCCACTTTTACAACATTTTCCAGATGTCAATAAACCTACATTATTGTTTTGTTTGTGACAAATGAGCAATTACATTATATACTTGCTACCATTACTTTTGAGTAAAATTAAGCAATAAATTTCTTTCTAAACAATTTATATTGATTTTATAGTTATAAAAGGTATCAACAGAAATGAAAAGAAGTATCTAAAGCAGTAACTTATCAGTATTGCCCTGTATTTAGGGAAACATGACTCACATAAAGTAGCAAAATGAACTACACAGTTCCTTAGATCTTAAAGTATGGTGAAAAAATGTAAATTTTCCTCATTCCTCTTTGCCATCCTAACATGCTGGAAGGAAACAACCAGAGCTAGACATCACTGTTTCTATTATTGTTTCAAAGGTCAAACTGAAATAATGCTTCAGTATTCATTTAAAAATAAGTCTAAAAACTAAAGAAAGGCTATCTGTACTTCAAAATGTAGCCATGAGCTACTGATTCCATTTGGGACAAAGAAAAATACTCCTATTTTAAGGCATTTTATAGATCAATAATATGCAAGAGTTCTTTTAGGAAAGTTCACTAGTAAAGAAAAAATTATATTTTATATTATATGTCAAAGAGCTTTTTTAGGAATATAAGATAGTAAGTGCCTTCCAAGATTAAAAAACATCTTATAAACTAAGTAATACAGAGATGAAGATAGCAGTTTTACCTTCTTAGAAACTTTCATATTAATGTGGTAAAATTATATACTATTAACATTAGTTATCTATATTAATTCTATATTGATGTTTGTATTTGATATTCAAGTAATAAGTTTCTATAATACAAAATAGTAAAGTATGATATAACAGAACTTATTTCATTCATAAATTAGCAAATATTTGTCATCTTTGAAAGAGTTGGATATAAAAATAAAATTTTTATTGTAAATCTACTGCTTTTATCTTACTGTCATAATAAATTTAAATTAAATATCTACTTAGACTAAAATAGCCTTGTTTCAAATGTCTTTGTCAAAAAGTTGCAACATATTTTACAAATAAAGCTAAACTAATATTTATCTCTGATGATACAAAAGAAAAAATAAAAACAGACACATCTAGAATTATTTGATAATAAAATGAGCTATCATAAAAAAATTCTGGATAATGGATATATTTGTGCTAGAATAATTTTTTTTAATTGCATTTTAGGTTTTGGGGTACATGTGAAGGACATGCAAGATTGCTGCATAGGTACACAGGTGGCAGTGTGATGTGCTGCCTTCCTCCCCTTCACCTATATCTGGCATTTCTCCCCATGCTATCTCTCCCCAACTCCCCACCCCCCGCTGTCCGTCCCCTATTCCCCCCAACAGACCCCAGTGTGTAGTGCTCCCCTCCCTGTGAATAATTTAAACAACTTTAGTCTCAAAATGCCAACTACTCCCAAATATTTTCAATAAATTCTTATCTACAGTCTATAAAAATATTTGTACCAGTTTCTTCATTTATAATTCCCTTAAGCTTTGTATTATACTATTATTTCAAATGTATACATTATGAGATTTTTTTTCTATAAGGAAGATAAGGACATACTCAGAACATCTACTTATACACCCTATTTTTTTTTTCCAAAAACAGCTCTCTTCATATAAGAGACTAATTTATCCTTTCTCACAAACAGTATATGTAGACTCTTCAGAGATATAAAATGGGTCTTGGGCTCATGCTTCTTTCTGGTGGAGAGTAATGGGGCAAATGAACAAAATCATGTAGGAGAAAATCTAAAATTAGGATGAAAAGTTACTATTCCCTACTATTGATTCCATGTGCTAAGGATAAAGAAGTCCCCTCTAAGAAGCAAAACAGGTTTTTAACAGGTACTTACCCCAAATTTTCACTAGTAAAATCACAATTCCCTTCAAGCCATATATCCATGTCTTAATCACAGTGAATCTACCCACAAAGTGTTCCCATGGGCAATGCTTATGCCCACCATGGTGCAGACTGCTAAGTAAGGTCACAGACAAAGAAGCATTTGCTACCTTGATATGTTCCTGAAGCTGAGCCTGGTGTTGCCGTGTCAAGTTCTCATGCTGTTTCTGAAACTCTGCTATCAGGAGCTGCTTCTGGATTTGTTGCTGCTGCTGGATGAGAAGTAATTCCTGCTGCAATTGCTTCTCACGGACAACAGGGTCCACCACAGGCATCATCATCCTGAGGTCTGTCCTTAGGTCTAAAGGTGAAATGGGCTCCAGGCCCACAGGAACTTCTGACTTCACATCCACTAAAGAACCAGAAAAAAAAGGAAACTGGTTGGGAAGGGTAATAGAGGACTGGAAATTAGCACACTGATTTGGAAAAAAGTATAAGACATTATACTGTGTCAATGATTCTAGCCATCCTTTACAGTAATGATATAAAGTCATTTGTACATTAGTTTTGATAAATGCGCCATATAATTTTCATTCAGTAATTTGTACTCTGCCATGAATCTTCCACAATTCCCTTTTACAAACAGATGACTTCGATTGTTCATTGGTATCAGTCATTCATAAAACTGAACCACTACCAAAAATCAAGTCAACAAAGACAAAAAAAAAACCAACACAATTTGAAGGAAAGATGTCCTAAGAGAAAACTTCCACCATGACTAAATTTACACTTAAAATCTTCCTTTGTGATGACAGTCAGAAGGTATCTTCAACTTTACAAAGTAAAGCTTGTAATATAATGTATTTGCAGCACTACTGGATATGCCAAAGACAGAATACAAAACTGCATACTAAAATGTGGAAAATGGTGATTAAACCACAGCCATGGTTGCCAGATCCAAACATTCAAAGAGTGAAAGTGGCCAAGTTTCTAAGTGTTGATGTTCAAATAGTAATAATCTGTATCTCAGTTACCTCATTCCTAAAATAAACAAGGTGGAAAAAGTATGAGGAAATTTAAAACAAGTATTTAATCCAACTATTGGAGTAAAAAAGATTTGATGATCTGAGAATAACTATAGATGATAATATTTAAATTTATACAAATTAAATTAGATAAAAACTAGATATAAAAACTCTTAGTTTTTGCTAAGAATTTTATATCTATTATCTATTTTAGTAGTTTTTGCTGTAGTTCAGTGGTCCAATCATAGCTTACTGCAGCCTAGAACTTCTTGACTCAAGCGCTCCTTCTGCCTCAGCCTCCCAAATATCTGGGACTTCAGGTGCACATCACCATGACCAGCTGTATTTGTTCTTATGTTTTTCATACAGCTGGGATCAGCGCAGTGGGAGATGAGGTGGTATCTTACTACGTTGCCAAGGCTAGTCTTGAATTCCTGGCCTCAAGTGATCCTCCCAAGTTCTGAGATTTAGGCATGGGTCATAGCACCAGGCTCTTCAAAAGCTTCAAATGCTCCAAGAACCAAACAAAATGCTTCCATCTTTACATGTACCAATTTGCAAATTCTGCTCTATAATCTAAATGCTTATTTGATTCTTTGATGTGTATAACCTCAAGGATGTTATTAATTTCCCTAGGCCTCTGTTCCCTCATCTGTAACTTGGGAGATAATAACAGTAAGTACTAATGGCACATAGCACATCCCTTAACAGATGCTTTGTTTTTGCTTTTTTATTATACAAAACTGGAAATTTCTTATATATCAAAATAAACAATTAATAAGTAGCTAACAAAACAAAAATATTAGGAACAAATATAACAATAGAATGGCATGTAATTTCTACTAAATATTAGCAAATAAAAGCAGTAAAATGTCTAGATCAAAACAAGTAATACAACTGAAAATCACCTTCACTAGTAAAGAATTGCAAATTATAAACCAAAATAGAGCATCATTAATTATTATCATATATCTGACTCATGTATTTACATGTTTGTACAGTGTCCCATTGTATAGGCTAAGCGTATGATCAAAGAGACAATTATTTATTGCAAGTGGAGCTGTCAATTGCTACAAAACTTATGCGAAACCAATTTGGTGATCTGTATCAAGAGGTGTTACATATTTCTACTATTTAATTCAGGTTTCTCAACTCTAGGATTATATCTCCAGGAGATAATACTGAATAGAAAAAAAAAAAACAGTTCAATGTCATATTATTTACCAGGTTTCTATTATTATTATTGAAATCATCAACTACAAGGAAATGAGGGAATGTGTTCTCTTTCCGGGTCCATGAGGGGGGTGTAGTTTTAAGGGCAAGAATTTCCCAGCACCCATGCCCCGCTCCCATCTCTCTCCATGCGGTAGTTTTAATGGTTTGTGTTTAAATTTACTGGACACAGGAAGAAACTAAAAGTCAATCACTCCAGTGGAAGTTCTAAGGAACTCCTTTCATTGGCCAGAGGAACTGGGAAGGTGAGAATTTCTCCCAGGATAATGAATTCCTCTGCTCCTTCACCCATGCCAGATTTCCAGCTTTCTGGAATCCCCTCCCACATGGTGGGAGCTCCCTTTCCCGTCTGGGATTTTCCCATCTGGAATCCCCTTCCACACTCTTCGTGGAAGCCTTTCTCTTCTTCTCCTTTCCTTCTCTCTTCTCTACCTAAATAAAATCACCTTTCTGCAATATCTCTTGGTTCCAATATTCTTTAAGAGGTTGGAGGCCAAAAACCCACAGGAGCTGTGCTTTAGGGTCACTCGAGGAAAAAAACCCAGTTACAGAATTGGCGCCCAACATGTGGCAGAGGTCTGTAAGAAGGATCACTTGCTTTCTGTCCTGTCTCCCTGTCCCTCCCCCGTCCCCCTCCCCCCTCCGCTCTCCCCCCTCTCCCCTCTCCCCTCTCCCCTCTCTCTCTGTCTCTGTCTCACTGTCTCTCTCCTGCTTCTCTGGGCAAAAACCTATGGAATGTGGGACAAGCAAATGCTCTGTTTATAACAGTGGTAGAACCAGGCATGCACAGGTGTGGATAGGTGTTAGGCTCCCGAACATGCAGGGTAGAGTGAGCGTGCTCCCCAGCCCCCAGGCCTTTCACTCCTTGCTGGTCCAAATGGGAACTAGGGCTGCCCAAAGCCCAGCCCTGCAATAAAATGCAGCACAGCGGGCCGGGGGAAAAAAGCTGCGGGGCAAGGTGCTTGCCCGGGGCAAAGCAGCAGAGGCTTTGACCTGCGGCAGGCGCAGAGGCTCTGAGCAAAGCAGCAGCACTTAGGGAAGCTCCACCTGGAAAATGCTTTTACTGATTCGCTTGGTCACTGGCCAGCACATTGGAATCCCTAGTTGGGGGCAGCATAAAACTGCAAAATGCAGCTCATTAAAATAACCAGGCCGGGCGCGGTGGCTCACGCCTATAATCCCAGCACTTTGGGAGGCCGAGGCAGGTGGATCACGAGGTCAACAGATGGAGACCATCCTGGTCAACAAGGTGAAACCCCGTCTCTACTAAAAATACAAAAATTAGCTGGGCATGGTGGTGCGTGCCTGTAGTCTAGTCCCAGCTACTCGGGAGGCTGAGGCAGGATAATTGCTTGAACCCAGGAGGCGGAGGTTGCGGTCAGCCGAGATCGTGCCATTGCACTCCAGTCTGGGTAACAACAGCAAAACTCCATCTCAAAAAAAAAAAAAAGTCAGGAACAGAACAAGGACTTCGCCTGAGGTGCTTGCATGCTGGCCGGCGGTCCCTGTGTGGGGAGGGCTGGGGGAGTGGCCTAGGGCATGCCTATGGGCCCAGCAACATGGCGGCAGGGGGAGTGGCCCAGAGCACGCATATAGTCCCAGTAACATGGCTGCCACAGGTCCCCAAGCAGGGGCATGGCAAACTTTCTCCTCCAGCAGGAGGCAGGGCACAAAGGCACTCAAAACAGGTAGGGCAGCTGCAGCAGCCCAGCCTGCTTCTTTAAATTCTATGCTCTAATAACTCCTCCCTAAAAGTTTACCCTTCTAGGGCAGTTTTAGAAATTGGCCTGCAAATTGGACCTTTGCTAGAAATATTGGTACCCATCTTCTGACCCTCACTGGCCTCGTCGGAGCTCGTTGGTATGTTTACCACCCCACCCAATAGCTTATTTCGTTCCATGCCTCTATGGTGGTCACTAAAGGTCGTGGAAGGCCATGGGCATAAGTCCATAATGCTGGTAGGTCGTAATTGGAACCCAGTTCATGGAGAGTCCTCTAATAAGATGAATCACACATCTTGGGCACACAAAATTTCGGGGTACTGACTGAAAACGTTTCATTTCAGTACCCCTTTTACCTGGGGGACGCCTCAGGTCAAAGCAGCTGTAATTTTTTAACTGGGGATGCAGGCATCCCTTGTGTTCAATTTCAAATGGGTACTTCTATTCCCAAGCTCAAGTCCTCATTAAAATGTATACTGGAAAATTGAGACCAATTTAACACACCACTTTTAAAGAAACAGCAGCTCATCTTTCTCTGCCAAACAAAGTGGTCAAAATACTTCCTGCTGAGTGAAAAAAACCTAACCTCCAAAGGGAAGGGAAAAAAACCCAACAGCTTTCCTTAAGCAATTTCGAGAGGCTTTAAGAAAGTACACTCCTCTGTCACCAGACTCTATTAAGGATCAGTTAATACTAAAGGACAAGTTTATTACTCAGTCAGCAGCAGATATCAGGAGAAAGCTTCAGAAGCTGGCCTTGTGACCAAAGTAGAGTCTAAAATCATTGCTGAACCAGGCAACCTTGGTATTTTATAATAAAAACCAAGATAAGCCAAAAGAATCAGGAGAAATCAGAAAATGGCTGCTGCCTTAGTTATGGCCTTCAGGCAAGCAGACCCCAGGGGCTCAAATGAGGGAAAGTCTCGGGTTAGCTGCCAGTCTGACAGAACTTGTTACCAGTATGGTCTGAAGGGACATGTTGTAAAAAACTGTCCCCAGAGGAATAAACCACCACCTTATCCATGCCTACTTGTGCCAAGGGAATCACTAGAAAGCACACTGTCCCTGGAAACCAAGGTCCCCTGGGCCTGAGGTGTCTAACCAGATAACCCAATGGCAGGATTAAGAATGCCTGGAATAGGTGCCAGCACAAACCATCACCCTCACAAAGCCCCAGGTAAAGCTAGCCATAAAGGTCCAGGAAGCCAATCTTCTCCTGGGATGGCATTCTCCGTATTTCTCTCCTGCCCTGGAAACTTGGTGCTGGTACTAGAAAAATTACTACCTCTATTCAGTTACTATAAGCTACCTCAGAAGTAAATTAACAAAAAAAGATTGCTAATTCTCTCTGCAAAAAGCAGCTCTCTCTGCAAACCAGCTTAACTCTTTAGACACCATAGCTTTAAAAATAAAAGGGCCCTAAATCTGCTAACA